TGTATTGCTTCCAGGGAAAAGGAAAAGAAGAGCCCACATATATCAACATCACTCCCTTCTGCTTTACTCGAAACTCTCAGCAGTCCGTGATATGCAAGCGCTATGGCAAGGTGTACGGCTTCGACTTGTAAGCTACCTCCCGAATCATGATCCCAAAGAGATGCGACGGCCTGCAAAAAATTTTAGTGATGCGCTGCGTTTGTGAGAATTGAAGAAGAACAAACGGATATATGAATAATAAATGAACGGAAAACTAAGAACTCACTCTTTCGAATTGTCCACACATCAACAATACACTGGCCCAAAGCCCCGACTTTTGCCCTCCGGTTCCTATAGCAGGCTCGAAGTGCCTCTCGCCATAAGCTAGCAAAACTTTGGTTAAAGAAGCCAATGAACTTTCATCATTTTCATCGCTAGAGCTTTCGTCGACCATAGCGAACTGCATCCACAACCAGTCTTCAGTTGTAGTGGTGACATTGGGTATACTCCGTCGCCCAGCATCGAGCCGCGCAACGAGTTTATACAGAGCGAGTTTGAACGGATCCTTTGTCTGAGCCTGTAACATGTGCGCATTATATACCCCAGCAAGCTGATCCCGTATGGATCGAGGGAGGGAGCGCTCAGTCGACTCAGCCCAGATACGGAAAGCGTCGATAAATCCTGGTTCGCGTGCATCGACGGCGTCTTTGAGGCGCATTAGCACTTGGAATGCCTCTGAGACCTCTCCAACTCGGACGAGGAAGAAAACTTGCGCCCAAACCGGGGTGCCTTTCACCAACTCTAATCCTGATAACCATTCTCCCTGTCGGTAAAACCTCACGGCACAGAAGGCCCGAACCAGGTTAGCGGTCGAGGGATCCCCTCCTAGCTGTGCTTCAGATGGATGGGAGTGAACAGTTCGCTGGATGATTGAGAGATATTGTTCCTCGAGCGCTTGACGTGCCCCAGACGCAATTTGTTTTCTTAGTGAAATCGCCGGGGTCTGAGAAGTGAGATATGCCTTCGCGTACTTCCGCTCAAAAACGGGGGAGTTAAGTATGTGAGCAGAGGCATGTTCCAACGGTGGTAGTGATGGTGGCTCTTGGGTGATATTAGCGAGAACAGTGAACATGAAAACTATTTGGTTGTTGTTGTTTGCCGCGTCGATCAAAGCATGGACGATAGGGAATGATGTTCCTCCAAGTCGTGCAGAGTTGAGAGCAACGATTGTGCGGTCGTAGGCAAGCATTTTGGTGTGCATCTGGAGTGAGAGTGGAGCTGATGATGACGCCTGTTTCTTCATCGTTGAACTTGACATTCCCATAGTTGAGGCCGCCAAAGACGTAGTAGATGCTGCTACAGGTACAGAGGCTCCTAGCTGCTCGAATAACCTCTTCTTCTTTACCTCCCAGTCTCTCGCTGTTCGGTCTTCCAACATACGGTAGAAGCTCTCCTGGGTTTCTTTTCTGCCATGTTCGATCGTACTAATAAGATTTTGCTCATGTGCGTGTCGGAGAAAGGAGGAAACATCAGTGTCTTGTAAAGGTTGCAAAGAAGAAGAAGAAAAAGTGGTCGATGCATTGAGATGAGCAATAGACTGGCTTAGAGCTGAACCGTTTACTGATGCCTGCGCAAGAAGATAGTTTCTTTTGGGCTAAATTAGAGAAGGACAGGGTGAGTGGTACAGCGACTTACGCCTTATCCACATCTCCAGCTGCATTGTGTTTTGACACCAACCTCCGCGACTGAGCTTCGATTTGTTCAAGAGAAAGATTCACTGACGGCAAATCGGGTGGTTTAGAATTCAAAAGGTGTTTTGTCAAGTCTCTGGAGGCGGACAGGATAGAGGAAAGGTCGGTCGATGCCATGTTATTCATTCTGCAAGAGAGCGGGGTTGAGACGCGCTTAGGCGAGCACGGATGATTGAGTTATCAGTTTATAACTGCCTTGTCCGCGAAAAAAATGAGAACGATGCGTGTTATTGTAAGGTCTGATCCTCACCACTGATATAATCGCTTCCTGTAGTAGCGTTTGCGGATGGCGACACTCGAGGAGCAACTCTGGAAATTTGTGGACAGGACCGTGAGCAGAATCTACCAGAGAAAGACAACAATCAGTTCTACGTATTCAGAGGATTTTGCAGGTTGTAACTAACAGCTGGTGTACCGGCACTGGAAGAACTTTCAATTTTGTGTAAGCGCCCGTGTTCAAGACGCCAAACCAATCACTATTGGCTTCATGTACAGAAGCGCACATTTTGACATGTCTTGGTATGTCCTTCACCAGAGCTATGCCAACGAAATCTCGGCTATGAGTAAATGTCGACCTTGCAGAGGTACATAGACAGCTGCGCTCAGAATATGCGATTCAGTCCGAAACGGGAATCGCTGAGACTGGCGGAAGTCCACATAGGAACTGATACTTTCTCCAGATTACAAAAATCGTTTGCACTTCCTTCAACGTTCGCTTATACGAAAACTTGCCAATGAAACCAATGCGGGAAGACCGAGTTGAGCTCTAATGACTTGTTGAAAATGCTTGTGTTAATAATAAGTGGTGTCTGCTAGTAAGTCCCACTATTCGGTATGGGCCTCCATACAGGTCAAGATATTGGCGGATCCTCCACCTCTCCTCGCTTCCTCATTCTGGATCGTTTCTGAACTCCTCTCAACAGGCTCCCCTGAGCCCTCCGACTAGTACTGACTGTTCCCAATTTAGAAATGCTGCAAAATGTGATCTTTACATCCATCGACCGTCCTTCTGAACCTCTCTGTTTATCGAAGGTGAAGAAGGCTATGGCATGGAATGGTCTGCAAGAATCGAATCGAATGGTTTTATATCCCGTTCATCCTGTCGTCTGACCACAACTCTATCAAAGTTGACACCTCTCTTGGGTTCCGATCTCATTGATCTTCTTCAGCACCTACTCTACTTCACCTCACGATTGCCAACTCCGAATTTGACCAGAGGCCCCAGCTCATCCAAAGTTTACATGCCTTGCATCATAGTACTAGCACCGTACATTTCTCCGCGGTGCTTGTAAAAGGCTGCAAAGCCTTTCTCTTAAACCATGAACTCAATCGCGGCCGAGGAATACGTGGATCGGAGTTTTGTCGATAAATGGTTCCCTGCTGCTTGTACTAGTGGTTATGGTCTGGATAATGAACAGTCGTTGCATTCCGGAAGTGGAACTGCGTAAACGTTTGCGCTCTGTTGTATTGCTGTTCGCAGATACGAATGTGGATGAAATGATATATGAGTTACTGAAGTCTGGAAGAGGATTTGGATATGCAGCTCGTGGTCATTGAAAAGAACATCCTTGCGTGTTAAGATCGTTACCTCCTCAATTGGAGTTTATTCTAGCATCAAAAACTGACTCCGCAACATTCTTCTCAACATAGGAGTATGTAGAGGCAAGTAGGTATTGTATTTTTAAATGCAAGTCGAGGTCAAGGTGTGTGGGAGGTGAAAATGAAAACGGAGGGGTCTAAATAGCTTTGACCCTCCAAAAATGGCATTGACGGGAGGTCACGGAACAGCCGGCATCCACCGAACCGTTTCAACATCCGCATCCTCTTCTACATCCTCGTGTCGATTTCATTTTTCTTTCCCTAAGTGTGTACTGGGTGCTACTTTCTCCAAATGAAACTCAACTCATAGACCACCCTCATTCAGGACATGGCATCCAAAACAGCCGCAGCGGTGGTTGTGAGTATTCGAATTTTCGACACTTGGCAAGACGCGGGGGATATTCACACTGGAATCAACGTTTTTAGGACTTCACCCGCATTTACACTTCTCTTGGTCTAGGAAAGGGTGCGTTCCAAAAATTCTAGGATCTGGTTTTGCACACACACCGACCAGCGTAACACGAACAGAGACCATTGCCGCCCTCCAGGCTTTCCGTAAGCGCCACGGTGAAGCTCAGCGCGCACAAGCTACCTATTCAAATCAACCAACCACTGTCGACTTCTCCCACTATCGCTCGGTATTGAAGAACAAGGCTATCGTGGACGAGGCTGAGAAACTGCTCAAGGACTTCAAGCCCGTTACCTACGACGTTAGCGAGCACATCAAGGCGATTGAGGCTTTCGAGGCCAAAGCCGTACGTGCTTAATTTTCTACTGTACTGCACTGTGGGATTTTTGGCCCGTGGCTCAAGTCGAGACGTTTTTGCTGTCGCATTATAGGTCTCCACAGCGAAGGAAACAGAGGAAAAGATTGACGTGGAGCTTAGGGATTTGCAGGCAACTCTCGCGAACATTGAGGAGGCCCGTCCCTTCCAGGATCTTACGGTGAGTACGATGCTCGAAATGAATAAGGAATTAGGAATTAATCGTGCTCTTTTCTATTTCAGGTCCTGGATATCGGCGAAGCCCACCCACGTATAATCGAGACGGTCGAGACGATGATGAAGAAAGGCAAATGGAGTGTTCCCGGTGAGTGCTTTTTTTCACTTTTACGCAATCACAGTATTCTTAATAGATATATAGGCTACAAGGAGAAGTTCGGCGATCTCAATCTCATGTAATTGTTATACTCACCTAGATATTCTTATATGAGAAACACATTGCTTTTGAACATCTGTATACATGCTTTGACGACACCGCGCGCGTGTTCAACGGTTTCAATGAGAGGTTCTACACTTCCTGAGTGTGTCCCCTTCTCGACGTCCATAATACAATGTCAATGTGTCGGGGGCGCCCGTTTCAGGGTTCGGGGTCTTCGAGTTGAGGATGTCCAAGTTCCGCGACTATATCTGCATGCTACCGGTCTCAATTTCAATTTGATTATGTGTCCCATTCTCAGAGCTCGGGATATCAAAGAAAAGTTGGTGCTGTAGCGGCGCAATGCACATAACCTGTCGATTATCTTAGGGCATATGCCACAATAAGGTACATAGGTTGCACGGAGGTTCAACGAACGCTGCAGTGCAACAGCTCAACATGATTATGGCTTTTCCAGTTAAGCGTCTTGAGTCCACCCCGACTTGAATAGCATTGGGTCCGATATTTGACACAGGTTCGGTGGTGTAGTGGTTATCACGTCTGTCTCACATTATGGACGGCACAGGAGGTCCCCGGTTCGAGACCGGGCCGAATCATTTGTTTTGCTTTATTTTGTTCTGCTTTCTCTACGTGGGAGTGGAGAAATGATGTCACAGGCACACCTTCAATGACCTCCTAAAGTGGCTCGCACTGGAATTCTTGGCGGCGTCGTCAAGTGCAATTTTTTAATCGTTGGCATCCCCCTCCTCACACCGACTAACTGCTGGCTAATTGCAATACCATATTTCCTCAGAGTCAAGAGAATAGGCACAGCAGAATTCCAACAGAGTTTTTTTCTGAATTAAATAAGAACTTCCTCGTCACTTCATTGTGGAGTCTTCGACGCTTCGGTAAGTAAAATTAATTCTATGGTTCGCTTCTGAGCTGAGGGCTCCAATTCTCCGACGTTTGATTGACTGTTGATTGATTGGATTGGGGCGACCGCTATGTATATAGGACTTGCCAGGACTTGATAACAGGAAACCGGATAGATCCCGGAACAACGACAAACTGGATTGGGAAGTCATTGAGGCAAGAGAAGAATCACAGGGTCAGCGGAATTCACCAGAAAAATGGCTGGGAGTATTTTGGATTCAAACTCTTCTCCTACGTCGTTGACTGCTGCGGGCAAAAGGCCAGAAACTACCTCCAACGATTCTCATAATCAGCCCTACTTGGCGCCTAATTCTCACAATCCCCATACTTTCCCCTCAACGCTCTCTCTTGACGATCACGATCACGACGTTGCGTCACCACCATACAGGCCAGAAGCCAGCACATCCAGTTTGCACGGCCAAGACTTGTTGCTGCACCCCAACCATCCATATTCCAGTTATCCTCCTAGTCCAGCGTATAGATCGCAGGCAAATATGTCAGACGAACTTCACCTAGATGGTGACCGTCACGCTACTGGAGACACTAAATGGGAGGGAGAACTTCGCGACACGAAACCCAAGGTCCATTATCCCGACATAGAACCGGTTCCCGTTGTTTCAGTTGACGCCGTTTCACCAGCCGCGAACAAAGGTCACCTTCGATTGGAGGAAATACCTTCGAGGGATTTCAATCGTTCCGGAACAAACAGTCCGGCAGACGCGATGTCGCTCGCTGGAACGGACGACGAAGAAGACGATAGTGATTATGACTGGAGCGGTGAAGATGATCTGGTTGACGAAGAAGCCAAGTTTGAGCAGCAGATGGGTGTTAAACCCAAAAAAACAGGGTGGGGATTCAAAAGAATTATCACTTTACTCTTTTCCTCTCTCCTCGGCTCCACACTCGTTGCCGGGATTCTCGTCACACCCGGTATTCTAATTCACTTTTATTGGTTCAATAACAATCCTACCTCTCACCGAAAATACGTTGAGCAAAATGTTCAAGCATGGCTTTTCTGGGCTGCTGCGAACCTTCTCTTATCCTGGTACCTTGCTGTCATCGTCGATCTTGTCCCGACTCTTGCCACTTTCATAATCGCCGCTGTGTGGGGCCATGTTTCCGAGGTATTCAAATCCCGCGTTGAACTTTACAACTCCGTCAAAAACACTTTCAAGCCCGTCTTGTACGCGGCTAGTGCTTGGACAAGCTGGGTTATCATCTTTGGACACATCTTCAATCTATATGACACCGTAGACTCAAGTCAAAGCCGGGCTGGATATACGCAGCGACTTTATCAGGTGGTAGAATTTCTTTTCTTCTTCGTCTTGGTGATTTGCGCGCAGAAGATGCTCTCGCACGCTATCGCGTTCGCGTTTCATCGTACGGCTTTTAAAGAACGTCTCGATGAAGTGCAGTATTCTTTGAAGGTTATCGAGCAGCTGCGGAATTATAGGCCCAAGCATGATCGTTTTGGCAGACAATCTGGTGCCAGATCCAGTGGTTGGGCATGGGGTACGCCAGTACTAGAAAAAGCCGGATTCGGCTTCGGGAAGAGCCATAATAAAGGACTTTCGTCCTCTCGTCTACATTCACATCGAGGAACAGAAGAAGATGGTTATGGTGCCGATGCAGACAATGAATATGATGATCGGACTGTGGTGGGTACATCGTCTAGAAAATCTACTTTAGGAAGCACATTCGGGTTCTCTAACAAAGGCAAGAACAAGAACAAACGACAATCTGGTAACTTTCCGTCTCCCTCTGGAGGCGGTGATCACGAACTCGGTGTATTCACTTCTGCTACGTCCCCTCACGGACGTTCCCCGAGCTCTCCTTCACCGGACACCAGTCGCCCTATGACACCCTCCACCGCGGCTCCATTCATTGTCAACCACACAAATTCCCCCACTGTCATATCCCCTTCGGAGAACGGCGGTCGCGGCACTCCACATCGCTATCCCCCGGGCTCAGGTATGAACACCGCCTCTCCGCGCCCCTCGCTCGACTCCAATCACGGAGCAGGCGCTTCCGAGACACTCGCCGCAGCAGCCAAAGTTCTAAAATCTGCCGTCCTCCACGATGCGCGAAATATTCGCGGAGATGCTGATCAAATTGGGAATGGCGGTGGTGGCGCCATAGGCCTGGGTCATGTCGGGTCGAGTTCAGAGGCGAAGCGACTGGCGAGGGCGATTTATCTCAAATTCCGACCGCTTGGACAAGGCAGGACGTATCTCCTACCCTCAGATTTTCACCCTGCGTTCCCCGATACGACTACCGCGCAAGCGGCCTTCAGAGTGTTTGACAAAGATAATAATGGGGATCTATCCCGTGCTGAAATTAAGACTACGCTACTCAAAGTGTATAAGGAACGTCGGTTCCTTGCTCGGTCTATGCGAGATGTTGGAATAGCACTCAAAAGCTTGGATGGGATTCTCTTGTTCTTTGCGCTGGTTATCATATTCTTCATCAGCTTGTCGGTGTTCGGTGTACAAGTCGGTGACTCTCTGAGTAGTGTCTATACCCTGGGTATTGGTGCGAGTTTCGTCTTCAAGGCTAGCGCGAGTAGCGCTTTTGATGCTATAATGTTCTTGTTTGTAACACAGTCAGTGTTTTTTCTTGAATTTTCCTCACTTCGTCTGATCATTTCGTTTTCAAACTAGCCCTTATGATACCGGTGATCGGTGCTTCATTGACGATGAGATCCTCGTGGTGAAAAGGATGGGCCTGTTCGCTACGGTTTTTGCACGAGTGGACGGGACGGAGACGTACTATTTCAACAGTCAACTTTTCACAAAGTTTATGTGAGTGTCCTGATTCCACTTGATACTGGTATATCTATCCTTATACACTTCCTTATCACAGTACCAACGTCCGTCGTTCCGGCCAAATGTACGAAAATGTGACTCTTCAACTCCACTGGCGGACCCCACTAGCTAAACTCGACGCTCTCGAAAAATTCTTGAACAATTGGTTGCAGACAGAGCAAAATCGGTGGTTCGTACCGAGCACCGCGATAATGTTGCAAAGTATTAATTTCCAGAGATACCTGGAGGTGACGATTGGGATTGGGCACAACGGGCGAGTTTTCTAAACTGTAATAACATACCGGACACTGGCTGACTGCATTTTTTTCACTGCTCGTAGAACATGGCAAGATTGGGGCCTACGCTGTGCTCGTAAAACTGCTTTCCACGCTGCTGTTCAACATTACACCCGTATACTAGGCATCGTCTGCTACGAGTCAACCCAGCCAATTGTTTACAATAATTCTTCTGATTCCCCCGCAATAAATGTCTTGAACGACGGCAGCGTTCCTCCGCCTTCACCTGGGGGTTATGGCGGCTGGTCTGGATCCGGTGGGTATGAACTGGAACCAGGTCCAGATGGTGGTGTGGACATCGTCTATGGAGGAGATGGCGCTGGTGCCGCTGCCGAGGGTACGAATACCATGTCACCCGCTGCGGCAGCAGCTCTTGGTGTAGGTGAAAAGGAGAGTGGACTGAAGACTGCGCTCGGGTTTACACCTCCTGAGGGCTTGGTTGGCGCGCATTTGAGAGCAAGGAAGACGAAGAGTAGGAAGGTCATGGTTGGGTTGGCTGGAGATGGGTGAACGTGCAGATGAATGTATGGCTGGTATCATATGAGGGGCCAACCTCAAACAAAAATGAAATACGAAACGAATTGGATATTCATCTACACACATATATTTACTGTCACGTATAGACTCTTCAGTAGCATTATTTTTTAGCTCTTCCTGCGCATTTTTTTCAAGTATTCATCATGCTGGCTTGACAGATATATAATGGTTATGCGTTAGTCAATTCTAAAATAGACGTCATTGGGAGTCATCTGTCGTTGTTCCTCAGGCGCAGAGCAAAAACAAATTCAACACTCCAGAGTGACTCGGAGTGTCTCAAACTCATCTTGTATTTCGACGACCGCAAAGACAGATGATAGGGTAGATAATTCTTGTAAGTAAGACGATACAACCAACTGAAATGGATGCCCCTTTCCAGTGCCCTTCATCACCAGTCATCAGCTCCTCACTTCCAACCTCAAGTTACTCCTCTGCAGCATTATCTAGATATTCCAGCATGACTTTCTCATACAAAACATTCCCCTTATACTTCCTCACATCCTCCCGTCAGCTCCTCATAGCACTTGCCATCTGTGCCAGAATGTCTTGCTCTTTTGCGAGTTCTTCTAATGGCAATAGATCTCAATAGATATGTATCTTTAGATTGTGAGGACAATTGCACCAGAAAGCAAAAGCCTCCGAAGTGTTTGCCGTTCAGTTTGTAAGTGAAGACGCATGTCAAGGTTGCAACGTCGAGTAATGATTGGGTGTCCGTGGTTGAAAGTTTCTTCAGAAAATTGGTACTAGGCTTTGGTAGTTAATTAATGATTACCTATGATTACTGAGTTTCTACAGCAAATCAATGATGTCATAGCTCTGGCCTCAGTGCTTTAACGCCCGTGCACTGCCACAGTGTTAGTCATTATTGAAGAAACTTGGTAATATCACCCCACAGCTAGTCATTAGTACAGATATAAAAGGTGAAAGCCAGTTTTTTGGTATGATTTCACAGATCTGTATGATTGGCAACATATGTAACAGAGACATTAAGATCAGACTGTTTTTCAATGAGGACAAATTCTACTTCTAGTAACTCCTTATCAC